TTCCATTGTAGGTTCTCGACAGTGGTAGGGGGTGATGCAACCTTTACGGCAATCAGGTCTTTTGGTGTTTCTGTTTCCTTTAGTCATGTAGGATCTAATAGCTTGGACTGCAACAACTACTCCAACTGCACCAAAGCAAAAAGAAATGACTACCGAACGTAACTTAAGTTTTATTAGAATGAAAGCATCGGAAATTGAACAACGGAAGATTGTTATTTGGGGAATTTTGGGTTGCTGATGGCAATGTTTGAGAGAAGACTGCTTCTCAAAGTGGACATCAACGGGGGAGGGGAAAAAAAAAAAAAGCTTGCCGTCCTCCCTGAGCTAAAACAGTCAGTGTAAACTCATACATAATCTTTCTCATGGCTACTCCGAAGTTCCTACCCTGCAATAGGTACTTATTCTCCTCCAAAAAAATCCCTGAAGGAAGACATGCGAGGGAGTTTCTGTGGTCGGAGCATCGGTTAAAAGTGGACAATGGCCTTTTCTCAAACGTGTCTCTTGCAGGAACGACACTCTCTTATTTGTCGGCCTGCACAAATTGAATTTTTTGTTGGCTGACTGGGGACTAACATATGAACATATACAGCTAGAATGAATGAGGAGTCAGAGTTAAATTAGACAATGAATGAATGAATGACTAAATGACAGTGCTGTACTTCAGGTCACATGACGTAGCAGCATTATTTCGCATACTGCTTAACACTATTTATTTGGACAGGACATGAACGAGTTGGTGAACGAATATTTAATTCAAACAGAACCAAATAAAAGTTGTTTTTTTTTGGTGAGTATTCTGGATTGATTCAGATTTTTACAATATGTCTGGCAATGCAAGTTACTGGCAGATTAGCTAGGTATAGCTAACAAGCTATATATATATATATAATAAAAAAAAAACCTCAGGTGAAATTTTTTTATTATTATTATTATTTTTTTACTAATTCAAAATGGCCATGTTGTGTTTTCTATATGCTTGAAAATATATCATGAGCAGTCAACACTATGGATGAGTATTTCCATCTTGAACCAACAGTATCAAAAACACAGATCAGGACTTCTAGGGTTTCGTACGTAACAAACGTAAGGAACCAATCCTGTCCACTTGCAAGGTTGGACTTTCTGTATCTTTATTCTTATTCAGTCAGCTTCCCAAATTACTCCAATATTACAACTTAGCATTGGAGTAGTCTTGCGGTGTTTGAGCAAAGTTGTAGGTGAGCTGGTGTGTGTTAGAGTTGCAGCAAGTGAGGACAGGTGGGTAGAAAAAGAGGCAGGGTTTTCATAGAGTCATACATTCAACACTAAGCAATGGTGTGAGGTTACATCTAAGGCATTTCAAAATGACAGAAGAGGGATAACGAGAGTTGCATTTGTTGGTATCAACGTACTGCCATTTTGTACTGAAATCTTTTCTACTCACACAAGCCCTTTGTTACTCAGGAAACAGACGCACACAGATCATCACTATTAACAGACGTTTAATGTGGTTTCCCACATTTTCAGATCAGCAGATCAATGGAAAGGCACAGAACCTTTGTTCAGCCACATCTACCCAACATGTCATTTAATTCAGATGCAGACAGCCACACACGGTGTGTAGGTGGAAAGTGCATAAAAACATGAATGTATATCAGAAGATATCTTTGCGTAATTGCTGTAAAACAGATTCAAACCTGCAGTAAATTAAATATTACATGAAGCAGCTGCACCTCTGACAGAATGACCTCAGTGTGTTTTAAACCTCCGTCCAGTCGTTCATCCATCAAAGCAAAAAATCTGTTTTCAGAGGATGTGGACGTGAGGTTTGAATCCGTCAGCAGAAAAAAAACACAGCAGGAGCACATAAATTATTGCATTGGTACCGTTTTTGACCTCGTAGCAGGCTTTGAATTTTACACATTTATTTTCTAGCTGCCGAGTTTTATGTTTGCTTGAACGTGTCCCGTTTTCTACTTGAACGAGTCGCTGTCAGGTTTGGCAGCGCTGACGAATCGACTCTGTTTTCTCGTCTACCTCCTTTTTTTTTTCTGTTTTTTTTTGCAGGTTTGAAGCTTTTCCGTAGAGGCAGGCAGTGTGGGCGTTCGGCTCAGCCTTCTCTTCTCCTTGGTGGCAGGTGTGATTGACAGCTCAGTCAGGTTAAAGGACACTTCGCCCACCAAACGTACACAATGCTGTGGAGTCTCCAATAGGCTGTAAGTTACATCCTGAAAATGACTGCGTGTCCTTTTCATACAGCTGAACCAGGGTGGTGGAGGAGGTGTGTGTGTGCAGTGTGCATCCAACCGTGGTGAGAGGATAATGGGAAAGCAAAGAGCATCATTACCTCTCTCCATGCTGCTCTGCACCTCCCTCCTCCCCCCCGGACCGCCGGGAAAAGACGGCGTGGATGTCGTCGTTTTGCCGCTTTTGGATCTGGATTTGTTGAAATCGGCCACCACACAGAATTTAAGAAGCTCGACAATGTTTTTATTGCTTCAGGCGCAGTCTCAACAATAGCAGCTTTCACTACAGTTAAGCCGTAAGCAGCATGTAAAGCACTGACAACATGCACAGAAATCACAGCTGAGTTCAGAATCGGCCCAAAGCTGACGTGATGTGACGTGAAGGACCTCCGGCCAGCAGGGGGCCCAACACGGGAGTTGGTCGTAGTTTAAGATGCACTCTGTGGTTTGGTCATCGTGTTCACTCAGTAGCAAAAACAATTCATCTTCATAGTTGCAAGAAGATTTCCTTTTAAGTAGGGATGCACGATATATCGGCCACCACATCGGTATCGGTCGATATTGCTGTATTTTCCCATATATCGGTATCAGTCCGATGAACAAATTTAGCCGATGTGAAAAAAGCGACGATTGTCTAACATTAGCGCCTTCGTCTCTACATTTGATATCGCTGCTATTTCACAGATGTTTTTACTTAAACGGTCCTGAACTTTAAATATGTCAAAATATGTTAAAATATGTTTTGTTGCGTAATAAACAAGACTATGTGTTCTAATTTGGGCTTCTTTTGAATAGTTTTCACGTCTCACAGTGCTTATTTATACTAATTTTTCGAAGTGAACAAAAATAGAATATCGACTTTGGAAATATCGGTGATCGGCGATATCAGGAATATTAATATCGGATATCGGTATCGGCCAGAAATTTTAATATTGTGCATCACTAGTTTTAAGTTCATAAAAATGAGCTGTATATTAAAGAACAAGTCCCAGCAGGTTCTGCAAGGTTTGGACCTAACTATTAGCGAGAAGGACAAAGTATTACAAGTGTCTGCTCGATATTTTTGAGTTTTTAAGAAAAAAAAGGAGATGTATCAAAAAAATTTGTTAATCTTGGTTCAACAGAAATTGAGCCACACGGAGTCTCTTCAGTTTTCTATCTCTGTGTGGCTGAAGTTTTACATCATGGAGTAAGTTTGATCTGTTGATCATTAGTTGAAAATCAAAGTAATTTCCAGGGCAGCTGAAAGCTACAGTAAAGATGCAGAGAGGTAAACGAAGATTTACTGAAGCAGGTCTGCTTTGTTCAGCAGCTCTTTAGTTTACCGCTAAATAGCAGCGACTTGTTTGGAAATTAAATTTTACAGGAAATTAAATGAAAAAAAAAAACAGAACCTGAAATTCAAAGTGTTACAGAGCATCTTTTCTGTAATGTTTGATCCCGTAAACATTGCTCATATATTTGGGGTACTGCTTACATTCTCGGGAAAACGTGTTTTCAGGTGCATTGTTACAAGAAATTAGCCCTTTGTTCCAAAAATATACAATCAGTCATTTTTATAAAGTCATAAATAGAATCACAGGCTGCAGACTGTCAATAAAACTTAACCTAAACTCACAGTCATTTTAGATTATTTTAGATAAAAGTTTCCCTCAAAATACGATAATTCTACAGTTCTTTTATGATCATTTTCCAAATGATTTTCTCTTAGGATATCGGTCCATCACTGTAGTCCAACCACGGGATGGATCGTCATCATATTTGGTCTCCAGAGGACGAAGCCTCCTGACTTTAATAATTCCTCGATTTCTTATCTGGTCGGTCAAACTTTAGATGTTTTCACGAACAAATCGTACAAATACCTGCTAAACTAATGACATCTTTAAAAACTCAGCTAAGTGTGGTGTTTAGAACTCCTTAGCAAGTATTAGCACGTTAGCTGCCAACAATTAGTTAATTTTAAGATTCTACTTAAATCATTGTGATTATTTTTACTCTATTTAAAATTTCTTTTTAACTATAATTCATTTATTTTAATTATTAGTTAATTATTAGTATTTTTTATTGATTGTTGTCTTTTATCATCTTCACTACCCAGCAGATATTTTATCTTATTTAACTGTGTTGGTGTGCATTAGTCATTTCTAAAGCACTTTGAACGGCATTTGAATACTTTAGAAAGTGCTATGTAATTGCATTTTGATTCAGTGAGAACAAATAACAAAACCAGAGAGCGTATCTTAAGCTATATACTCTTTTTCTTTTGTATTTTTTAAATGTTTACATGACCTAAGCAGCATTTCTTTCTGAACGTAACTGTAACTAAATTGTGAAGCATGTGGCGGTGAAGGCTGGTGAAGGCTGGTGGGGGTGTGCTGGTTCAGATCCCGCTCACGGCCACAGAAAGCTTCGCTCCGGCCCTGTTAGGAGGCAGACAGCGTCCACAGCAGGAAAATGATGGCTTTTCGATTTCAGTCAGAGCTCAAATATGTGCCTTTTTTTTTCTGTATCATCAGCAGGTTCAGTGTGTTTTTGCTTTCAGACCTTTGGTATTTGCTGCAGCAGTTAAAAAAAAAAAAAAAGATTTACTGTGTTTGGTGCCTCTGCAGTTTATTTCTCCTCACAGAGTCCTTGTTCTCTGCTTCTGAATTCACAATCTGTCATTTCCAACATTTGGTAATTATTCCCTCTCTCACACACCTCCCCCAGCCCACCTCCCCCTCTCCATGAGCCAGAAAAGCTTCGGCTCCACATTTCGCCACTCAGCCACGAGGGCTAAACATACTCCTGGAGGCTGTAGCTGTCCTTGATGTCTTTTTGAGGGAGTTTGGAGGGAGACGAGTAGAGCTTCTGCTCCTGCTCCACTTTACCTTTCTCCTGCTTCACCTCGTCCATCTGCAGTTGGACGCATTTGTGTTGCCTGGTTTTCGGCTGCTCGGCTTGCGGCTCCCGCCTCCGCTGCTCGTCTCGGCACGGCACAAGTCTGTCAGGGTCGGTGGGGGAAGCGTAGTCCGGCCGTCTCGATCTTTTTCCGGGACACGAAAGGCAAAAAATGACTCCTCCAGCTAAGAGGAAGCCAGCAGAGATGAACGTCACACACAGAGCTCCACCGGGTTGATATTTACTGCTGTCCGGCAGGTCCGTGGTCAGGAAGGCGGTGATGACTTCGTTGGTGAACCAGGACGCGGGCACCAGGCAGAGGAGGCTGGCCAGGATGAAGCAGCCCCCCGCCGCGATGGCCGTGTGCCCCTTTGCTCGGTGGCTGCCCCCCCAGCGGGTGCATTTGAGCCCCAGGGAGGCGAGGCAGAGTCCAAAGGCTGCCACCATGCAGGACAGCACCATGGCGGCCCGCATGGTCTGCAGATGCGCCGGCAGTGACAAAACCGAGTTCTTCATGGTGCAGCTGAAGACGCCGGAGCTGTACCAGACGCAGTCCATCCACAGACCCTGCATCTGCGAGATGGGGGTCATGACGCTGGACCAGACGTTGACGCTCACCTTCCAGTTGGGCAGCAAAGTGGCCACGGTGGCGCCGAGGACGCCCAGGAGTGCCAGGGCGAACGCCAGGATCTGAATGGCGGCGGACAGCATGGCTCAGCCCCCCCGTCCAGCTTCTGGTCCCCGTTGGCGCGGCGGCGTCCCGGGCAGGTCCTGACAGCAGATAATTCCTCAGCACAGGCTCCAGCGAGCTGCAACCAGAGGAGAAATGAGAATTGAAGTGAGCGTGGGAGCGTGACGGACGCACAGCTGAGGCTGCTGATGGGAGTCTGTTTTCCTCTCCCAGATTTCTGATTTCTGTAGTAGGGGGGCGAGCGCGATGATTGCCTGCATTAGTTACTCTGCAGCTGATGTGGTGATCATTGACACTCAATTATGTCCTTTTAAAGCTGCAGCGTCCCTCAGCGAAGCTCCCTTTGAGCTGCTTTTCCACTGCAAGAAACATACAACAGAGCACAAACTAAGAGCTCCTGCTGGAGTGAAGTTATTTCCTCTGATTTATTCCACCCTGATGCCCTGGTGGAGTTCAACATCTGCAGCAAGAAGAGAATTATTTGTCTTTCTAAGTTCAGTTGCACGAAGAGTGGGGTCTTACCTGTGTTGCGTCTTTGGCAGCGTCTCCTCAAGTGATTCCTGAGGACGAAGCAGAGAAGCAGTGTGAATGAAAACACAGGGCGTGTGGGTTAACAGCCTGTAACTACCCCTCTGCCTGCTGTCTCCTTGGCAACTGTACATACAGTTTCATCCCATTCTGCGTCCTGGAAAAGAAGCACCAGGCGTCCTTTTTTTTTCTCCCCCCCCCTGCATTTTGATTCTGAATAGCAGTAATGTTCGTTCAAACAAAGCTGACCGGAGTCTGATTCAGAAAACAGGTTTTTGTCTCTAACCTGAAGGTCACCGGCTCTGTTGAAGGAGCCGCAGAGCAGCGTTCTTATCTGATGAGTTGATGGCGGGGTACGTCAGCCCCGCAACACCAACTGAAGTGTTGTCTTTGTCGCCTTTGACCACCTGAAAATGCTTGTTTTGGACACTTTTGCTTTTGTCCTTCTCGCTTTTCGAGATGCAGCCCAAGAAAGAGTTTTACGAGCGTTCGTAAAATGCGGCGCCACCTCTGGAACATGATAATAAGCGCGAAGGTAAAAGCTCATTACTGGTTATTACTGATACTATCTGCTGGTCGAAACCAGCCACGTTTCAGACGACTGACGGGATCGTTGGTGCTTTTGAAAACAATCACTGCGCACCATCGCGTTGTCATTTTCGCCCTCGTTTGGCGATAAAACCGCTGAGCTGTTCTGTGCGCGGCTGCAGCGTGAATCAAGGTGTCGCCCGTCATGTGACTGTGTGAAGAATCGCCCACTGCAACGCGCTGATAAGCGTCCGCAGCCCGCCCACCCGCCCTGTGGAGATGGGACCCGGCATTCAGGCAGCGGCAGCCTGTTATTACCATAATCCTCAGTCTGGGTTTATCAGCCTCAGACCTGCACAGACACGAGCTGCTTCCACCAAAATGACAACTATAAACACACATTGTCCTCGCCGTTCCACCAGCCAGCCTCCCTGTGGGAAAACACAACTTTGAGGAAAATGTGGGCGGCACTTCGACCATCATCACCGCTTAATTAATGTTGTTGTGTTGATATAATAACTCACAACAAATAAGAAGAACAGTGCAGCCGGCTCTGTTTCCCACCGCAGATGTAGAAATGTGATGTCAACGCCATGTGAGGAGCCGCTGTGGCTTTAATGTGGACAGATTCCTAATGGAGGTTCTGCACTGTGGTCGCATTGACACCAACCGTTGGGGCTTGTGTTCCTTTAAATTTAACACACATGTACCTGTCACGGCTAACGGACACAAGCAGCGAGTGATTTACCTGTTTGGGCCTAAAAAGGTGAAAAAAAAAAATCTGGAACATCTTGAGAATTTTTCTGTGAAAAATAAATATTTTGTGAAATCGAAACAGAATATTTTTATACAGTAAATATTTGACTTCATCAAATGATTCAATCATCTCACGTCTCTTCAGATTTATTTTGGAACTTAAATCCTAAAAATAATCAGATCTCAAAATTAGTTTGAATGACATAGAGAAACTAATTATGGACCTTTTTTGTGTTTCTTTATAATCAGTCATAAATATTTAATATATCCAGAAGAACAATTTTAACATTAATAATTACAGTTTGTATTTAAAAGATGTTTTGTTTGAAGCTCCACTGGGCCACAATTATTCATATTAATACATAAATGAAACGATTATATGCTTTAATGAATTGCTCATTGCTAAAAGTAAATATTCTACCAGCTCCACTCTTCATATATGACATTAACAGAAAACTAAAAGCTGTAAGTGTACAGCACAAAATGCAATGAAATGACAAACAAATTTAAACTTGGTGTTTCACTGAGGTGAAGACAAATGACTGGAAGCTGTATTTTAGTGAAGGTTTGGTTGAGCATCAGTGAACTGTAAGTTTAACATAACTTTTATTGTTAATGTGACAATATAAGCCTTAAAATAAGAATAATGAATTCAAGCAAAGTGAATTTGGACTGAAGTCAAATTTATCTCATAACAACAAAAAAAAACCTATTTTTGTATAAACAAGCCAAAATTCTCCAGGAAATCTGTCTGAATAAGAAACATTTCATCAGCAACACTTAATGCAGAAGACTAACAACAAACAAACAGGACTTATATTTGCTTCTTGCATTCTGAGGCTTTAAATCTCAGATGCCGGAGTGTCATTGAATGCCTCAGCCGGGACAGTTGGACTGGTCTAATTTCAGTTCTTAATTAGCTCAGGTCTTCAAAAGCAGCCGTCCGCTCCTTCCAGTCACGCGTCCGACGAGTCCTGCGGTGTTCAGATGTGATGGCGGTGCTCTGTATTAACATCGGTGATGTGAAACGAGGCGGCGGTCTATTAGAAGCAGATCTCAGGAGGTTTGAGTTGACGCCTGCAGGCCTGAACGCTGCAGAGCGAACAGAGGACAAACCGAGAGCTCCAATATCAAACACGTCCCACTCTGTTCTCCATGTTCTGCACCATGTTCTGCTTTGTGTCGGCATCCCACGAGGGCGTTTTTTTTTTAAATTTAGAGAAAAAAAAAAAAGATGTTTCTCTTTGTGTTTTTTGCAAATGTTTCAGGTGAAATCACTGAAGAGCAGATCAGCATTTCATTTTTTTTAATAGATACTTTACAAGTTTCTTCTTTTATTCTTTGTGTTTTTTCTTCATTTTGTCTTTTTTTCTCCTTTATATAATTTTAAATCCCTCTTTTGTTTAATTTTAGCTAATTGCTCAACACATTTTTGTACTTTTTTTATTAGATTGTTTATTTTTTAAAATTTTAAAATAGGTTAGCTGTGTTTTTCTTTTATCTGGGTACTCTGTGTGTGTGTGTGTGTGTGTGTGTGTGTGTGTGTGTGTGTGTGTGTTAGTTTTGTATTTGGTTCTGTGTATTTTTTGTCATTTGTCTAGTTTTAATTTTTGTGTTTTTCATAGCCTGATTTTAGATCATTCAGTTTTGGGGTTTGGTGCTTTTTTTTGTCATTTTTTTTAAGAATATGAATGTCACATGTTTTTTTCTTTTGTTAAATTCTCTGTTTTTTATTGTTTCATTTTAAATGTGTAATTTAAAAAAATGTGTAATAACTTTTCACTTCTGTTTGCATATTTACTGGCAGGTTGTTTCATAAACCACTGAACAGATTAAATAACATTTTGAAGGAAGTCTGGCTGGTGAAGAACACATGGTTTTATGCATATTTGATTTTTATTTCATTACTTTTGTCTTTAATTAGTTTTAACATTTTTTTGTTAACTTTTTAAAAACATTTTGTTAGTTTCACTTTCTTTTTTCATTTCTTGTGTTCGTATTTTTAAAAAATTCCCAAATATCAAATCACACTTGCTGACCCAGTGTTTCCATATCGTCTTTGATTATTATTCTGTTTTACTGATGCGCTGTCTTCAGCTGAAAAATGATCTGTGGACAAGAAGCTGTGTGATGATTCAGAGAGTTGTCATGATTCATGACTCTGGCTCGTTTTTCGTGGACTTACAGATAAAATAAGCACCTAAAACCTAAGTGTGTGTTTTTGATTAATGGAGTTAATTAAACACCAGAAATCAGTCCTCACTAACGGGCACTTTGGCATTCACTGGAAAATGAAATTATAAAAAAACGAATAAACAAACAGAAATACGAAGGTTGTGTTTGTTCAGGCAGATGAAGCAGCTGATAAATGATGAAAACTTCAGCTGCTGTTTAATACAAACCTGAAGTTTTCATTTCTGCTGCTATTGAACAGACTCAGATGAGACTGTATGTTTTTATAATCAAATCTGTTTGACTTCTGATTCTTGAGTTTCTGCAGCTGAAGAAATGTGATGAATCATATGAGATCGGTATGTGGGTTGTTGCTTAATGAATTTTTAGGTGAAGTGGCACAGTGAGGAGGAGTTCGCTTTAATTTGAAGGGATTTGCAGTCGTATTAGATTAAACGTTAAAAAGAGCGGGACGTTCACATGAAGAATTCTTCTCCTAATAAAGGCCTGTGATTCCTGCATCTTTAATCCAATGTGGCTGAAATTAGCTCCGCTCTAAAGCAGACAGTTTGACCTCTGACCTGCCAGTCGCTGTGATAATAGTTTGGAGTCGAATCAAACCATCTGGCAGAAACAAAAACCCCCCGAGGCTCCATCAGCAATCAATCAGCAGCCAGACGGGAATATAAATGAACCGCTTTATCTCTGCTGAACACACACACTCAGTCGCTGCATGTGTGTGTGTGTGTGTGTGTGTAACACTGACTTACATTTATTCCCCCAGACTTCCTATAACCACAATGTGCTCAAATCTAAACACACCCTCACCAGAAACCAAACCTTTACCTTCTAAAATGGAGTCCCCACAATGTGTTTTTATCAACAGACGTGCGT